ATCTGTTTTTGCCACGCTCCCAGTGCCTCCACAAGGACTGGTCTCCAGGACCGACCTTCAGCCCCTTCTGAATCCTGACAGCGCTATGCCCATCTGGTTCTTGATCGGGTTTTAGAAGAACTTTCCTACACATCCCCTCCTGTCCAGAGCCATCCCCACTCCTTTCTAGGACATAGTAGTGCACATGAGTGGAACCTCGAGGTTACCAGGCTTTCCTGATGATCCTAACGCAATATTCCTGCGATTCTTTCCCCCAGATGTCAGGGCAGCAGTGTGCAGGTCCTGAGTCCGTACTCCCTGAGCACTGCCTGTGCACGGCACATGCTCGGCTCTAGAACGGCAGTTTCCTTGGGATTTTATTACTGAACGAAGTCCTCCCAGAGAAGGGATGATGGTTAACAACTCAGGGAAACTATGTACTGTATTTCTCCTTTTGTTTATATACGTTGACATACTAATGAAGAACTGCAGTTAAAAACAGAATTTGTTGCAGACCAAATAACCTAGGTGTGTCCCAGCTTATGTCACCATGGAAACTTCTGTCATCATTGTCATCATGTGAAGTGACACTCAATAGCATCTAAAGCAACATGGGGAGATGCTGCTGAAGACGCAGTAAGCTCTGTGCTGCATCTCTCCCTTGGGCTAGAGTGTTCTCTCCTATTCTCTTTCTCCAGTCTTTTCCCAATCTCTCCCAGTTTAGGTTTTCTATTCTTTATGTCTGTCGGTCTGTCCATCCATCTGCCTGCCTGTGTGGCTGGCTGGCCGTTTTTGCAGTATTGGGAGTTGAACCCAGGGCTTTTACATGGAGCTATAGCCCCAACCCCCTCTAGTGTTTATTTTGAGACAGGGTCTCACTAAGTTGCATAGTTACCCAGGCTAAACTTGAATTTGCAGTCTTCCTGCCTCAGTACAGGGATTACGGGTCTGTGCCACCAGGCTCAGCTAGGTCCTTTATTTTTTAAACATTGAAATGTTAAAAGATCCACAGTTGCAGTTAGAGAGGAGAAATAAGCTTTTGAGATCAAACTGCACAGCAGAATGGCTGTGATAAATAATAAAGTACTATCTGTTGCAGCCTCCGAAACTAAACTTTAAAGCCTTACCACAAGAGAATGAGTGAAGTTCATGTTAATTAGCTTGATTTATTATTGTCATCTGAAAAAAAATGCAAACACATCAACTTGTTTTAGAATTTAGCTTGTTTTCTTTGACCATCCCACTTCTCTCACCTACCCATCATACCATTGCACCTGCTTGCGTTTTCCAGTTACCCTTTGTAGCTCTCTCATATTTGAACTGTCAGTGTCTAATACTACCTCTACTTTGAGCTCCTTGAAGATTTCTTTTATTATTATTATTTTGGGGACAGAGTCTCACTGTGTAGTTCAGGCTGCCCTTGAATCTCTTATGTAGTCCAGCCCGGCCTTGAACTCACGGCGATCCTCTTGTCTCAGCCTCCCAAGTACTGGGATTACAGATGTGCACCATCACATCTGGCACGTGAAGATATTTTTATTCCCAGTCCCTGATATGTACTGCATATTTGTTAATGCTCTCCCACGGAAAAAAATGAATTGATGATTAGTTTAATATAAGTAAGAAGCCTGGTGTATGGAAACTTTCCACATGGTTAAACCACCTCAGTAGTTTTGTTAAGGCGAATGTAAAGTGGGACTTTATTTAGATAGTGTTTAACTTTTTTTTTGAGACAGGGTCTTGCTATGCAGTTCAGGCTGGCCTTGAGCTCACTCTGTAGCCCAGGCTGGCCTCAAACTCACAACAGTCCTCCTGCCTCAGCCTCCTGGGTGCTGGGATTACAGGCATGTGCCACCACGCCCGGCTAGACAGTGTTTAGATTCAGTATTTTATTCACTTCTCGCTGGCAGAATTAAGAGGAGCACTGACGAACAACAGTGCGAGTTGGGTGGCTCTGCTGTTACGGAGGAAGACTTTGTGCACAGAGAGCTGAGTGAAGAATGTGGGCATTCTGAGGGGGAGAAGAGGGGTCGTGCCCTCCATGTGTCTCTCCGCCCCTGGCACCATGCTTGGTGCAGAGTAGGGGTTCAGGACACTTTGGTCACAGGAGTGAAAGCATATTTGTCTTCAGAAACTTGAGCTGGGCGTGGTGGTGTACACCTGTAATCCCAGCCCTGGGGAGGCTGAGGCAGGAAGATCGTTGCGAGTTTGAGGCCAGCCTGAACTGCACAGCGAGACCCTATCTCAAAAAAAAAAAAAAAAAAAAAAAAAGGAAAATAGTTTTGACCCATGTAAATTCTTTATAGTATTATTCTATCACATTGTTTTATGACTAAGAATAATACTTTTCATTTTTTAAATTTTATTTATTTGTAGTAACTTTTATTTATTGGGTGTTGCCACTCACTGAGTTAAGAGGGGAGGATACAGTAGTAATAACTTGAGACACTCCAAGGAAATCACACGGGGAGGTTTGAGTATTAAGCCAGTGTACAGTATATAAATTACTTGTCTAAGATTGCTTCAGTCGGTATTATGTGAGGGTTCTCACTCCCAAACAGTTGCTGTGTGTTACTGCGCTATCTTATAAATCATTAGTGATCAGCATGTGACATTCCTAGGAAATAATGTGGTCTTTAAATGATCACTTATACTTTAATAAAACCACCACTTACCCAAAAATGTTGGGTCATCCTTGACTCTCCACAGTGTAGACAAGAAACCCGTGAGTTCCACCTGCAGAATAGATACCGAGTCCAGCATGTCTGCACACTGTATCTCCCTGGTTCCTGCCCTGGGCCCGGTCCCCTCCGTCCTGTGTCTGGTCTGCTGTGGGGTGCCCTCAGTACAGTCTCTCCTTCCGCCCTTGCCTCCCTGTGGTCTGTATCCAACAGCTGGCCCGGCCACAAGTTCGGAGACGTCACTTCTGTGCGCGAAGACCTTCAGCGGCTTCTCCTCGCTGAACACAAGCCACAGTCATTCAGGCGTCTTGAAGGCCGAGTGCAGCCTGGTCCTTGTTGTTTCTCTGTCCTTATCTGGATTGCTCACGGATGTCAGGTCTCAGGTCGTTCTGTTTAAATGTCACTGGGTCAGTAGGATTTTTCCTGCCTCTGTTAATTAGCAGTTAACCTCTCCCCTCAACATCCTTGCAATACAGTGTTACTTCGGTTCACAAACTGAATTTGTTCTGCGATTTTGGAAAAGGCGGCCCCGTTTGTGTTTGCGCAGGACAGATGGCCGCAGTGGTGGTTGTCACCCGATGCAGACAAAAGTTTGCAAACAAAAGCGTTGATGAACCAAGGTACTTCTGCATCTGTTTCTTCCTTCCTTCGCCCCTTTCTAGTATTTGTGGCTTCTCCACTCTTGACGCACAGAAGCAGGATTAGAGAAAGATCTTTTTTCCTGACCGCAGCTACTACAGCTCCCTCTTGGTTGCCAATGCGCCAGGGCTGCCTGTCTTAGGGGTTCTCATGTGAGTTTTTCTGATGCTGGAGATCGGGGGTAGCTGCAACCCTTTCAGCTCCCACCCCCAGCCCCCGGGCTTGGAACCCTCCCAAGTCTCTTCCTCCTGGGGGGCTGTCGCCCTGGGACAGACGCTTAGATGAGCTGTGTCAGGATGATTCAACGCCCTACTGCCTTGCTCACTTTCCAGTTGGATCCCAGGAGACTAATACGCCTTTGCCGTGCCATCCAGCGAGTTGTCTCAGCATTGCTGCTTCGCTCTGCCCTCTCTCCCTCTAGTTCTCTTTTCACTTGCTGAAGCAGAAGAGAGAACAGCAAACAGATGTGCTGCCTTGGTGGGTGCGCAACGAAGGGCATCCGGCTTCAGTGTCTTTTTCCTGTGGGCTTCTCGTATTTGTGTGTGAACCCCAGGAGCTCCTTGCTTGGTTTTGGTGCTGGAGAAAGGGAAGTGAGAGTGGTTTTCAGGAGGCCTCCCTCCTTGAAGGAGAAGACATAGTATCCTTTCCTGGGCCAGCAACTTCCAGCTTCAAAGATTCTCCCCCTGGTGCTAATGTTTGCTTATACTGGTCCTGATGGGATGCTGCTGTGGGAGAAGCCAATCTGGTTTCTTTTCCTCCCTCCTTCTGTCCCTCCCTTCTTTCCTTTCTTTTCAGTACTGGAATTGATCTCAGGGCCTTTGCACTGAGTTATATCCCCGGCTCTTTTTTACGTTTTATTTTGAGAGAGGATCTCACTAAGTTGCCCCAGGAGGGGCTCAAATTTGTGATCTTCCTCAGCCTCCCGGAGTCCTGGGATCACAGGCGTGCACCACCATGGAAGGCGGCAGCACCTCTCTTTAAAAGGTAGTGGTACTCAACAATTAGTTTTCAGCTTTTGGATTTTAGCTGCTATTCTGAGCTACAGAAAAGTATCTCATCCAAACTCTTGGTACATATAACATTTGTACCTTAAGGATGGTTTGTTTTAGAGTCCAGATTCTTAGGAGTATTGATTTTCTTGAGTAGTTTTTCTAAATGTTGCTTAATTCAGAAACACACTCCTTTTAATATGCAGTATTTGGCCATAAAACTTTGGGCCAAATCCAAGCTGCTGTGTACTCTCAGTTGTTGTGACATATTTGTCTGTGTTTTCAGATCTCCAGGTGGTACATGCTAGAATTCCAGGGTTCTTATCTTACCTGAGAGCTCTTGGGCCTCTGAAGAGAAAGCAGGCTTTAATTTATGTTTACCTTGTACAGGTGTGTGATAGAGAAGGACTTCTGGCTGACCTGTCTACTGATTGTCCCAAGGGCCAGCATAGTTCTTAATTCATAGTCTAAAGTATGAGTTGTTTCCCTTGCCAGTGTGTCATGAGACCTGATGAATACTTTAATTTGATAGTATGGCTTATTCACATACTTTTACTGAGCACATACGGGTTAATTTCTTTAATGTTTGAACGTACTTTTTAGAATTTTTGTTCTATGACAAGTAGGCCATACACACTTGCTAGGTACTTACATGCACAGAGTTCCTAGTTATTGTAGTCATGAATCCAAGTTGACTGTGCTTAACTTCCAGGGTGAAAAGGAGCAGCCCGTGTTTGCGATGACTGGCCTTCGATGGGGATCCTTCAGAGATGCTGGCGTCAAAGTTAGCAAGTAAAGGATTCTTATATTGATGGGTGATGATTTTTTAAAAATCTTATTCTGATCCTGTATTAGAGGGATTTTAATGTACACATAGAAACTTAGCGGGCCTGGAGATGAATAATGACTGGGGATGAATAATGACACAGGAACCGTCAGGGAGCGGTTTCTCTCCCATACGTAGACAGGTTAGGGAAAGTTCCAGTTTCCACGCACCAGCTCGGTGGTAGCTAAAAAGGTGGGTACTTGTCTATTTTTAGACATAATCTCTGAGTGTAGCTTAGGCTCATGCTAGACTGAAAGGAAGCTGGACTGCCTACCATCCAGTAGCATGCTTAGCTGGGTAGCAAGCAGAAGGCACTGCCTGGACCTCAGCCTTGCAGAGCTCTTATGGGCCCGGTTGGAAGACTTTCCTGAGAGCTGTTTTTTGAAGGCCTTGCAGATTGAGTGACCGCAGGCGGCCTCTTATGGAGAAGGAAGAAAGGCAGATGCCTGGCTGTGCTGTGAGATGGAAGAACAGGCCTATACTGGAGCTGATTAGAGGGCCATTGCTAGCTTGCATGGAATAGACTTACTTTGGGAGAATCCATTGTCTGAAATGAAACTCCTGGCTTGGGAAGAGGGTGTGTCCGGCTCCATTTGATGTGGAGAGGTGGCGTAGGCAAAGGCTTCCTAGGTAGAGCTGAAGGAGACACTGCGGAAGCTTTACTTCATCCCTGGTGGGTGGTAGTTTTTCTTTGCTTTTCGTAAAGCCGGGAGCTTACAGTTGTAGTAGAGTTTATCTGAATTATGATTGTTCTCCCACGCAGCTCTCTCATCAAGGGCCCCTCTTGTACTTTTTAGGCCAGGCTGCCACACTTACTTCCCAGAAATTTCTTGAACTTGTTTCATTTTATGGTTTCTGCTAATGAAACTCCTGACAGTGGAATGTCAAAAAAGAGATATTACTGCAGTAGATTACACACTAGTCCTCAATATTTCACATCCTCTCATTTGAACATTTGCCATGATTATGTTGAGTCCAAAAAGCACCTTGTGTTTGATCTGCAATCTCATTCCAGCAACTCACCAAGCGGAATTGCTTAACTTTCCTGAAGAAATGACAGGTTGTTTTCCAAAACGTGTTCATCAGCAATTAAGTGCAAGCACAGGAATATCTCATATATTTACGCCATATTTTGACTGGTTCTGAATAACGAATTTCAAAATCTTGTGGTTGTTCCTAATGAGTTAAGGCCACTGAATCACTTTTTTTGTATGAAAGAAAAAAGAAAGGATACAAGAAATCATTCTCTAGTTGGCCATAAGGAGACTATAAGCATAGCGTCAAAATTTGCTATTGGCAGAGGTGAAGGGAAATGCTGATCACTTAGAAATAAACTGCCAGAAAAAAAAAAAAAGAAGAAAATGCCCGAGTCAAGATGTTTTTCTACTTGGCTAACTGGAAAAAAACCAAACTATGCAGTAAGCTCACACACACACACACACACACACACACACACAGCATCACAGTATTAATCTGAGTGACAATTTAGAATAGTTCCATGCTGCTGCTGGATTTTATCTAAACTTTTCATTCTGGTGTTCCTGGCACAACTTAATGTCCCATCATCCCTAGTTATGTAATCACGTAGCTTTGTTTTCAAGCTTTTCCTCACTTCTCGGCCTATTATTCTCACTCTTCCTCATTCCCTTGTACCTCTTCTTGCCGGAAATGACTTCCTTCCCTCTTTCTTCTAAATCCCTCATGCCCAGCTGCTTCTTGAGTTCCATGTCCTTACTGTGGTGTGGTGCCATTTTTACAAACATGGATGCTGTGGTGATTTTAAACCATTAATGATATTTTCTCCCTTCTTTATAACTCTTACCAATAAACAGTGGCCAGTTTCTATCACAGCATATATAGTCATTTATTATTTTGTGTTACTCAGGGAGGACTTATTTCCTCAAATCTCAAGCTCACAGAGCTGAAATTTTATGCTCTGTATTTCTTCATATCCATAGTAGGAGCTAAATAAATACGCATCAGTCAGAATCAATAGGGAGCAGTTAAGCTGGAGTGGTTGGTAACTGAGATGATTTTTAAGAGAGGAATCTACTCTCTTCCTCGCCTGGAACTTTTATGTGTTTAACAATACATAGCATTAAATCCTTAATTCTAACGTTTAATGCTTGCCATTTGGAAGCTACATAACCTGACTCATGTGAGAGTGTGCTGGTTTGCACATCTTAGCTACGTGTGCATTGGTGAGAGGACGTGGGGTATAGGATTCAGTTGTGTGGTTTGTAACCCCCAGGCTGCATGGCATCTGCACTCTTGGTGTGGCCTCTGCATCCGTCCCTCGTGGCTCTTTCATATGATCACAAACTCTGTTCAGTGCCGAAAGTCTGTGTTATGACACTTGTGAATGTAGGACTCAGGGAGACTCTGGCTGTCCATCTCTTGTAAACGGCAAGAATCTTTCTATTTTCTAATTCCACAGTGTTGGACATAGCATTGAAATGCAGATTGAAAATATACCATGATACAGTAATACTCATTTATTTCAAGCTACAGCCCCCAAGCTTGCAGAGCAGCAGTCATAATGCAGGTGTAATTCTACATAGTGGATTGTCTGTCGTGAACGGTATCTATCACATTGATAGCTCTTCTGATATTTTAATCAGGTTTTTATCTTGGTCTTTCTCAGGTACTGGTATCTTGGGCCTTTCAAAACCAAAGCAGCCCACTTTTTCAGCACTCTTCAGGTAAATGCAATTTCTAATGCAGAATTTGTCCTGTGTTAGTCATTTCTCTGTGATATATTGTGATATTCTGTAATTCCTCACTGCAGATGCGTGTGTCTTGCTCCGACACTGAAATGGACTGCATTTCATTGTGTACAATTTCTGAAAATATTTTTGTTTTGATAGCAAATCACCTCTCACTGCCTATTCACTCCTTCTACCACCAAAGCCATGTTGAATTTCTCTTTGATATTTCATGTCTTTGTTATTCATTCACTCACCCTTGCTAGACAAACCTTGAGCAGAATTATATGTACCTTAATTATTTGTGTGTGTCTATTAATACCTGGCAGTGAATTGAAGATTTTTATTGGAATATATCCAATTATACAGGCTTGTGGATAATATCAGTAGGCTTTAGACTATACTAGCAAGTATGGGTTGTGGTTGCTATGTTGGACAGTAAAAATATAATATTTCCATCATCTGAAAAAATTCTGTTGGGCAGTACTGCCATGAATTACATGTTAAAAAATTAATGCTGAGGACCCAAGTATGGTGACACATACTTGTAATACCAGCTACTCAGGAAGTTAAGGCAGGGGGATTATAAATTTGAGGCCAGGCCTGGGCAACTTAGCAAGGTACTATCTCAAAATAAAAACTGAAAGGGCTGGGGGTGTAGCTTAGTGGTATAATGACCCGGTTTCAATCCCCCAGAGCCACTAAAAGAAAGAAAAAATTAGGAGCTCAGGGTATATCTCTATAGTAGAGTTCTTGTCTGGCATATATAAAGCCCTTCATTTGATCCCCCGCCCCAGAATTGGAACTGGAGTCAAAACAGTAAGGATTTAGCATGAAGAAAAGCTTAGGAATTTACATTAATGAAAATGCTAACAGAAAAGTCATCAGTGGGGACAGTACACTATGTTCAGCTGTTAAGTAGTATAAGCCAGGCATGGCAGCGCATGCCTATAATCCCAGCACTCGGGAGGCTGAGGCAGGAAGATCGTTGTGAGTTCGAGACCAGCCTGGGCTACAAAGTGAGCTCAAGGCCAACCTGAACTGCATATTGAGACCCTCTCTCAAAAAGACAACAAAATGAAACAAATCAGAGTAGTATAGGCACATTTTAGCTGGCTAATCTAAAAATTGGTAGTGAGAAACTTGGTTCCACTGTTAATATTCAGAGTTATCAAGTGTTCTTCTAATTATAATGCCCATTGTAAAACATGAATTATAAAAGTTAATGTAAAAGATTAAAATCCAGTTGGACTAAAAAATTCCAGTTGGAATTTTTTAAATTTAAATTTAATAGGGGCTGGGGATTTAGCTCAGCAGCACAGCACCTGCCTGGCAAGTGCAAGGTCATGAGTTCGATTCCCGGTACCGGAAAAAGAACAAAAAACAAAAAACAAAAAAATTTAATTCAATTTTTAAAAAAGTGTAAAAAATTAAGATCCCGAAAGTACTAGAGGTAAGTCTAAAGGATTTTAGAAAAGAATTTGAAAAAGCAAAAATTTTCCATACCAGAGACAAACTGGATTAGTAAAATATGGCAGTATTTAAAGGGAATAATTTTACTGGGGTGGTAGTAAATACATTAGTAAAACAGAGTAGCTATATATCTATATAGTGGAGTACCAGAGACTAAACTGTTTTCACAATTTATTAGCAAGCTGTTGGCTAGGTGTGGCGGCACATGCCTGTAATCCCAGCACTTGGGAGGCTGAGGCAGGAGGATCATTGCGAGTTCGAGACCAGCCTGGGCTACAAAGTGAGCTCAAGGCCAGCCTGAACTGCATAGTGAGACCCCGCCTCATAAAGACAACAGACAAACAAACAAACAAAGCAATTACTTGTCAATGTCTGGGATACAAAGCCAAATAACAGGTTTTCTGTCCTCAAGAACATGCATGCAAAAAGTACAAGTAAGTCAGCTGTTTGGCAGCTACCTCAGTCCAACTAAGGGTCCAAAAGTCTTCCCAGGGAAGGTGACACTGAAGCTAAGTTTGGAAATATAGAGGACTAGAGAAAAGGTGTTTTGGGTTGAGAGACAGGGCTCATGAAGTCACAGAAGTGGACCGTGGTCGGCAGTTAGAGTTGAGAAAGTATAATGGCAAAAGTGAAGCCAGAGGTTCAGGCTAGGGCAGGCTTTCATACGTGATCTGGCTTTGATCCTTAAAGCAAAGGGGGGTTTTTGAGTCTTATGCAGAAACATGACACAAGCAGATGTGCATTTTGGAAAAGTCATTTGATGGCATTGTGGACCAGAGGTTATGGGTAGATCACTAAAGGAAGGGACAACAGATCAAGGATTGTTAAAGCCAGCCAGTGACAAGGGTGGAGCTCAGTGAGGAGGTATAGACTGAGGCAGCAGTGGTGAGCACTGACAGTGGGAGAAAGAGCAAAGAGCTATTGAGGTTACTGCCTCAAAAGCTGGAAGATTTTTGGGTCGAGGGACTAGAGTTCGGTAACTTAGTTTTCCGCTAATGTTCCTAATGTCAGAGTAAGATCAAGTTAGTGGAGACTTCCCACTGCGGTACATGGTGAGTTTGATATACCTGTGGTGCGCACAAGTAGAGGTACAACTGTGACTTCAGTCTGTTCAGCAGACTGAAGAGACAGATTTAGGTCTCATAGGTGTATGAATGGCGTTTAAACTGAGTTTGGTGAGGTTACCGTTGGAAGCGCATGGTGAGGAACAGTCCAGAGGCATCTAAACATTTAGAAAGCAAGGAAAGCTGGCAGGGAAGTGCTGAACGGAAGCCAAGAGAGCAAGACCGTCAAGAAGCAACAGCCGGGAGCAGAAACGCAGACAAGGCAGTACGCAGGAAACTGGGCAGCCGCCAAGGGTTTTGTGACCTCCAAAGTGGTGCTGGTGGTGAGGGGGTGTGCTGGGGCCATGCTGGAGAAAGCTGAGGGGTGAACGGGAGGTGCAGAAGTGAAGGCCACAAAGGTAGTCTGCTCCTTCCAGAAACTTGACTTTGAAGAGGAGATAGCAGAGGCCCGAGCTGAAGAGAGTGTCATTTATTTTTTTAATTGGAGGAACATCCCTCACTTTATACTCCGACGCAAAAGGAAAGTAAGAAGAGCTGAAGAGAAAGGAGACGCCAACATGACAGAGTTGGCAGACATCGGATTATCTTTGGCAGGGGAAGTGGTGCCTTTTTCGGTGAGACAGGACAGAAGTAAAGGACAGGTCCAGATGGAAACAAGATTATGGAGAGTTACGGGGGTCCGTGCCGACACCCTGACTCTCGCTGGAACTGGCCGTCCGCTGAAAATGAGGTGGGAGGGGGGTGATGCGGGACAATTCTAAGATGACGGTGAGGAGGCTTAGGGTTATCAAGTGGCATTGAGGGTCCGAGACCAAGACTTTGCTGTGACACTCGTGTGTGTGTTGCTCTGTATCAGAACTCAGCAGGGGTCCATTTTCTCAGAGTACAGAAACCTAGGGACAAGATTGAACCAAAATTGAGACTTTTTTTAGATAATGGGGATTGAACCCAGGGCTTTCAAGCTGAACTACATCCTCAGACCCATTCTTTTTGGTACTTTTAAAATTTTATTTTTATTCTGAAACAGAGTCTCATTGAGACTAAATTGCCTGGGCTGGGCTTGAACTTGTGATCCTCCTGCCTCAGCCTCCCACATTGCTGGGATTGCAGATGTGTGCCGCCATGCCTGGCTCCAGATTTGGGGTTCTGAAGGATGCATGTTATGGAAGAATAAATAAAGCTATAAAAGGGCCACAATAATGGGGCAACAGTGATTTTAAGTAACTAGTAATTGGCCACTGAGGGAAAGTGGAGTGTTAGCAGGAATTCTCAATGTGATTGAGAAACTGTCTGGTTAGAATCTTCAGGGACCAAAAAATAACACCCCCTCTCCTGCTCTTCTGATTCTGAACCAAGTTATAAAAACATGCATGAATCAAACAGATGGAGATGAAAATGTCAGCTTTTTAAATGTCAGTAGGAGCGAAGGATACCATGTAGATATATGTGATTGCAGCCTGACTTCCTGATACTCCAGATGGAATTTATCCCATCAGAAATGGGCCAGTCAGGGCACAGACTATCACTGTAAACTTACTGCCAAGAGGAGGCAAGAGGGTCTCGAGGACAGCTGCTGTCGGGGCAGGAGCGGGCAGGCGGCAGGGCCCATGCACTGATCCTCCTGAAGCAGTAGAGGGAGAGAAGCCAGAATTGTTGCCGCTTTTGGATTCACCCCATGGAAAGGAAACGAGAGGCGCATAGTTCATGCTGACACATGTACTGGGCACCAAAGAGTAAAGCGGAACTCGGAATGACATTAGAGAGGGGTGTTGGATTAGGGTGTTGGATGGAGGAGTTCTGGGTCCTGGTGAGGCCAGGGCGGCTCGTGGAAGTGGGGGCTCTGGTGAATTAGAGGATTGAGAGGTCAGGGTGTGGTGTTAATTGCTCCTGTGGACCCTGATGCAATCCGGATGACACCGGGCTTGGGATGCCAGGAAGTTAGAGGCCAAAAAATTCTCCCGTGGGGACAATGGGCTTGGAAGCAGGAGGGAGAGGCCTCGGGCTGGATTTGGACTGCAAGGCTGGGCTGAACCACTCTGGCCTCCATGTGGAGCCTGATCCCAGAAGTGAGGCGGGCTGGGGTTCAACAGCTTCAGTTTTGTGTCACCCTCTGGAAACGGCCGTCTCCTTCCTCATTCGGATTGCTCTTGTCCCGGACACTTCGATCTCCGCCCTGCCTATGTTAGAGCAGTGGAGGCAGAGATCACTGCGTTCGTGGTTTTCGGGAGAGAGCCTGAAGAGGGAGAGGAATCCTGAAGAGGCCACATTCAGAATTAGAATTCCTTCCGGCGAGAGATGATTAGCTTTCTAGCAGAAATGGCAAATTCTGGCAGAATTAGTTTTCTAACCTTTGCAGGGAGAAACTCCGAGAGTTAGCAATTATGTGTCAGGACAACAGTTCTTTTCTCTCCGCATTAACAGGAGTGGCCCCAGACTCATCAAGCCTCCATCTCATACACGGGGCCTACAGAGAGGCCTCCCAGCGAGCCAGAGGAGACCCCTCCCCGGCCTCCTCTGTACAGGAGAATCCTCCGCAGGCTGGCCTCGTACTGGGCACAGCCGCAGGACGGTGAGCAGCATGCCGGCGGCTTCTTGGAAAGCCCTCCTTAGTCCAAGAGTGCCGCAGCCGCACCCCCCCAAATGAGTTGAGGGGTAACTAAGATAGAAGCTGTTCTAGGGTCACTGAATTCAGCCTTCTGGATGCCACCAGAGTAAGGCCCATGAGTGGGCACAGCAGCCCCTGGGCACCATCACTCTGGTGCTGACGTTTATGTAGCAGCAGTGTTTTAGGTGTAGAGATCCCATTTTTAGCCCAGCACTTTACCCCTCTGTGTAAGAAGGATGAACAGAATAAAGCTAAGATGGAGAGTTGGCAGCAGGCTCGGGAAGCGCGCGGAGCTGCTGGCAGCTGGTCGGTGGTGGGGATGGAAAACCAGTGGAAAAAACTGACCTGTGTCTGCGGCTTCCCACAGCTCACTCCCAGGAGGTGAGCCCAGAGGTCTGGAAAGACGTACAGCTGTCCACCATCGAGCTGTCCATCACCACCCGGAACAGCCAGCTCGACCTGACGGTAAGTGTGCTCGCTCACTGGGAAGGCCTGGGTAGCTGGGCAGGGGGCAAAGGCACACACGCCTTTTTTGCACAGAGTCGGTGTTCTCAGTCTCCTGCTGTGGGCACTGAGCGGAAAGATGAGGGCGAGGATGTTGTGTGCCATTAGGAGGGAATAGCGCGGAGAAGCAGTGCTGAGGATTTGTGGCGCAGAAGCTCAGGGGACAAGCGTTCAGCTCATTGCTGAGTTGGTCCCCGGAGGGCTCAGGGCAAGAGGCCTTCAGAAATGAAAGGTGAGGTACTCTCATGTGCTGTGGGAATAAAAACACTGTGGAACTTTTTCTTTTGTAAATATTCACTATTTTGTGATTATATTAAATATATAGGTTCACTCCCAGGAGAAAAACAGGTGCACATAACTAGTATCTATACATACGATTTTATTTGGGCTCAAACTGTAGACATGCACTGTCCAACATGGCAGCCATTAATCTGCTGGATGTATTTAAGTTTCAGTTACTTAGAGTTAAAATTTAAAACTCAGTTCCTCAGTCTCACTAGTTGTATTTCAAATGCTTAAGAGTCATATGTAGCTGGTAACTACATTATTGGAAAGCACAGATATAAAACATTTCCATCCATGCAGAAAATTCTGTCAGTGGTGCTACAGATAATTCACACACACACACACACACACACACACACACACACACACTCAATATTGTGAGATAAAGCAGGGTTGGCAAACTGGTCTACCAGCTGTTTTCAGATAGCCCACAAATGAAGAATTGATTTTTCTAATATTAAATGATGTGAAGTTAAAAGAATGATATTGTATGACACATGAGAATTATGTGAAATTCATGATTCAGTGTCCATTAATAAAGTTTTATTGGAACCCAGTCATGTTCATTCATATACCTTTATCTGTGGTTACCCTGACGCTGCAGCGGGGACAGAGACTATGTTGCCCCAAAGCCTAAAACATTTACAATCTGGCCATGTTCAGAAAAAAGCTTTACTGACCCTGATATAGAGCCAACCTTACCAATTAATGAGGATGCCAATAGAAAAGTCATTTATAACTGCAGTTGCATTACTACATTCAGCTTTTATGTAAATGAAAGTTTTACTGTTATCCTAGCTCATCAGAAAACTAGCACATGGAATTGGAATGCAGTGAGAAATATGATTCCAATAATGTTTAGAGTGTAAGGATTGTTTTGCAAATACAAAAATAATACAGGTTGAAAACATTGGGCAAGCATAAGTCCTTCACCTTCTAAAATACAGCTGAATTAAAATAATAAATTTAGTCACAGAGTATAATCTAAGTGATTAGCAATATAAATGTGCAAAGAACAAGACCTTTCTAAGCATGAAAGCTAAGACATGATTTACACTGACACATTCATCTACTTAAGAAAGATACTGTAAATAAACGTTATGACAAATTGGGGAAAATACTGGGATATCACAGATTGAAAGTTGATAGCTTTCCTCATCAAAACGCCTAGAGTAAATCTGAAATAACTAATATTTTAAAGTAGGTAATTGAGGGCACACCTTTAATCCCAGCACTTGGGAGGCTGAGTCAGGAGGATCATTGCAAGTTCGAGGCCAGTCTGGGCTACAAAGTGAGCTCAAGGCCAGTCTGAACTGCATAGTGAGACCCTGTCTCAAAAAGACCAAAAAAAAAGGTAATTGGTATAGAAAATTCACAAAAGAACTAAGATTTCAAAAAATAGCTTCTGTTTGCTCCGTATTTATTACATGCTGGGCACTGTCCTAAGATTTTCACCTAGGTTAACTTATATAATGCTCATTAACTGCACTATCAGCTAGAACTTCCGTCTGCATTTTAAAGGTAAGAGACTAGAAAGTGTTCAATGTCAAGGAAATGCAAATTGAAATGGGAACTACTGAACAGTCCTAGATTAAAAAGCACGACAGCACTCAGCGTTGGCATGGGTGGGGAAATGAGCTGGGTAGTTTATTCTTCATGGGGGTGGAAAGCCTCGCGCCCTTCCTCAGTGGAGCCTGGTGTATATCCAGTCCCTAAAGGATAAGCATGCCCGGGCTTATTGTGTGGGGGGCTACAGAAATCACAGCAGTCCTTACCTTCTTACCTAATGGAACTCTGAAAACATGGATGGAATGAGTATGCAAGAGTTAAAAAAATAGATTCTGTTGCAAAGACATTTTTTAGCAAGATAAAATTCCTATTACACGTTTCCGTTGTATTCAGTCTTTGGTAATATGCATTTCCAGCGTTTTGTTCATGTTCTTTTACCATTGTTCTTCTCTCTGATGACGGAGTAGCAACGCATGGACTGAGTTCAGGGAGTATAATATGCAGAGATGAGTCACGTTCAGGATGCGAGTGCCGTTTATCTTTGTACCAGTTATAAAGGCATATCAGACTGTGCTGCTTTATCACACGTAGCAGCACATTAATTTTTTTTCTTTTTTCTATACTTCTTTGTAAAATAAAAGCAAATGCAATAAAATATTAAAATTAAATTTAAAAATTAAAAAATATTAAAATTAAATCTAGCTGCCATGTAATAGCTGAAAATATTTACTTATCTTTAAAGACAGTAATATTTAGAGAATAAAATAAGCTTTGGGAATGTGGAATATGGGTTAGGGTCTCTTGTACAAATGTTTCTGTATTTATAACTGCAAAATTATGAAATAGTTGCCCCGATTGTATTTTGTTACACTTAAATATATTCCTGTTTATTAATACGGGAATATGTTGCTCATATATTGTGTTTTTGTTTTGGTCTTTCTGAGACAGGATTTCACTGTACAGTTCAGGCTGGCCTTAAACTCACTTTGTAGCCCAGGCTGGCCTCTAACTCACAGTTATCTTCCTGCCTCAGCCTCCCAAGTGCTGGGATTTCATATGCTGTTTAAAAACTAGGTTTAAATTGTTTACATCAGTGTTTTTGTTTAAAAAGAAAATACTCCCCCCTACAGCTGTCACACATGGTCTGTGCACATGTAAATATTTGGCTTTCTATTCTTCTACACTTGCACTATGCTTCTCAGTTATGGTTGTACACATTCCTATTTTTCTTCTTTAAGCGTCCTTTGGGCTATTCTTGGCTGTGTGGACTATAAATATTTTAGAATGCTTATTTTATTAAATTCCTAATAAAACTTTTATATATTGGTCTGGGTTACATGGTACCTGCAGATCATTTCGAGGAGAAGTGACGTTTCTTACTCTATTGACTCAGCATGTGAATGTGACACTGTGTATCTCTCCAGCAGCTCTCAGTGAAGCTTTATAGTTTTCTCTATCACATTGTGTCTTTTGCTCAATATATCCCTGATTACCTTTTGATTGTTTTATGAGTAGTGTCTTAAAATTTCATCTTCTAATTATCTGATTTAGTAGATGGACATGTAATTGATTTTTGGTGTTGATGCTGAATCAGCAACCTAATTTAATTCTTGTCTATGGATTTTTTGGATTTCCTACAAATTCTGTTATATTAACTCCAAGCAGAACAAGTCTTGTTTTCTCCTTGTACACAGTCACCTTTACAGTCTTGTGTCTTATCTTAGCACACTGGCTAGGACTTCAGAAGACTTGAACAGAAGTAGTGATGACAGATGTCATTTTTTTTTTTTTTTTTTTCCTGAGACAGGATTTTACCATGTAGCCCAGGCTGGCCTCGAACTCTCGGCAGTCCTCCTGCCTCAGCCTCCCAAGTTGCCCCCAACTCTGCCATAAGTATTATCATCTTTTTTTTTTTCTTTTTTTTCTTTTTGAGACAGGGTCTCACCATGCAGTTCATACTGGGCTTGAGCTCACTTTGTCCCTCAGGCTGGTCTCGAACTCACAATGATCCTCCTGCCTCAGCCTCCAAAGTGCTGGGATTATAGGCGTGTGCTGCCATGCCCGGCAAGTATCATCATCTTATAACTGACTTAGAGGAAAGTTTCATCACTTCATTCTTGAATTTGGTGTTAAAATGACATGAAATCCAGATTTCACTGTAGTAAAATTTTGTTGGAACCCAGGCACACAAGTCCATTTGGATGCTGTGTGGCTGATTTGCACCACCATGGCAGAGTAGCAGGCAGAGCGCTTGGGCTCCGCAAGGCTGAAATGATTGCTCTCTGGTCCTTACAGGGCCACACTCTGCCCGCCCCTGGGGCGTGGCTCTGCTTTCCCCACAGCACTTTTAAAAGGCAGCTGTTCCCCTTCCCCTTCTTTGACAGCTGCAGTCACCCAGTATCTGTCCTCCTGCCCACTGCTGCTGTAAGCCTTTCTCCTTCCCCTCACACCCTCCCGCCATCTCCCTCCCGCCATCAGATGTCGTCGTTACTGGCATCGGCTGGACCCTGGGCCACGGCTACACGTTCCCCCTAATGTCCTCCCCTGGCTCGCTGTCTGCCTCGCCAGCGTGACCCTGTTAATTCTCAGCCCAGCGTGGCAGGGTGACCCTGTGGAAATGAAAGCAGAGCATTTTCCTCTGAAGAACCCACCAGTGCTTCCCTTCCCGTATTCCAAAAGCCACATTCTAGCAGTCTGCAGGCCCTTCTGACCAAACCTGACTTCCCTCCGCCTCTCCTTCTGTTCTCTTCGCCAGTCTTCCTGCTCCAGCCCCACTGGCCTCCTCGGTCCCATTCCCTGCCTGCTGCGTTCCCACGTGAAGGCCTCTGCCTGGGCTCTTCCCTTTGTGCGGATGGCTTGTTCCCTAGACTGTAGATCTTCAAGTGCGGTCCTAAGGGTGGCAGCATCACCTGGCACTTGTCCAAAGTAATTCTTGGGCTTCTGCGCAGGTCTGAACTAGGAACTTGAGGATAGTGTCAGAGCCTGAGTCTTTTTTGTTTTGGTTTTTTTCCGGTACCAGGAATCGAACTCACGACCTTGTGCTTGCCAGGCAGGCACTGTGCTGCTGACCTAAATCCCCAGCCCCCCTGAGTCTGTTCTTAACTCTTAACTCACAGAACCTGGGATGTGAGTGTTAATCAGCCTCCAGTCATACTCCGCGTTTGAGAACCGCAGCCCTGGATGCGCACATCGCTACTTCCTGGCCTTCCGGTTTCTGCTTGGATGTCACCTTCTCACCTGCCTCCCTGCTTAGTGTAGCCGCTGTCATCTGTGCCAGCTCATGCTACTTGCTGTCTCTCTGATCTCACTTTCTGATATGCTGTGACATACTTCTAGTATACTCATCCTTCAGTATGCTCGACAATTTCCCATTTTATTATGGCTTATCTAGCTCTCCCCTGTAAGTTCTTTGTAGACAGAAATTCAGGTTTGTTGTGTTAATCTCTGTAACCCAAACACCCCAAAGAGTTGATGGTGCATGGCTAGCTAAATGAAAGGTGAACCCTGAGCAAAGTCCTCACCCTGACACCGCACCTTGTAATTCCTAGCGGACAGTGTGCTTCGGCGGTACCTTGGCATCTCAGGCCAAGGCTTTTGGTGCTCAGGAGCTGGGGTGTCATCCTGAGCCTACAAATTGTGAACATCCCCCAAAAGTAGCCGACACAGAAGTGTTTCAGTACTGATGGGTGGAGGCGAGGTTTGTACTGTTACTACAGACCGGTAGTGAATTGTGAGGCGTGGTACAGGAGCCAAGTCTGTTTTCACAGCTACTTCCTTGTAGCTCAAATCTTCCAGAGTACCGGTGGTTGGAAATGGTTAGGTTCTAAAAACATTATCAGGGAATAAATGGATTGCTGTTTTTCAACTGATCACATACCAAACTGGCATGTAGAGCACTTGGAGAACGCAGGCACCTGGCTCACCATACCTCGCCGTCTGTACTGTGGTCTGGTGTGATACTGCTGTGCAGGCCGGACTGCAAATTGCTGGGGTGGATGGGCGGGAAGCTTGGCCTGCACAAAAGGAGTCCTAGGGACTTTAATACCTACGACTATCAGTAGCAAAATTCAAGCCCGCGCTTGAGGTTTTCTTTTGCTTGTGTAATGGAAAATAAAAAGCATAGTGGCACATGCCTGTAAACTCGGCGTTCGGGAGGTGAGGCAAGAGGATTACCACGAGTTCAAGGCTAGCCGAGGCTACGTAGTGAGTTCAAGGCCAGCGGGAACTACATGGTGAGACCCTGTCTCAAAAAAAATACAAACAAAAACAAGCAATGGAGATGAATGTTATACTACATTAAATCTCTTGTGAAAAAAATATTTAGGATGAAATCACTAGAAGTAAAATCCCATATATCACGTACAGCTTCAAAATACGAACCACCAAGACTGAGTATGAGAATAAACTATACGGTATTAGCCAAAATGCTCAGAGGACTGACGTTAGTGGTGGTCTTAACTTTTTTAGAGCAAAGAAGACTTTATGAACATCTGCATCGAACCTGACACTGTCAGCAAAGGAGATTTCATAACCATAGGGTAAGTGGACTGGGGTTTGTAGGACATGGGCCTTCGTTAAGTGGTTTGTATTCTTGGACCCTGCTATTCAGAGTGCTCCGTTAAGTCAAGAGAGAGGCCCTGAAGGCCGGTCTTGCGGGGAGTTTTAGCATCGCCTTCTTCCCCACAGAGCAGCTGTGTGCAATGCCCAGTTCCTGCTTTGGCCTGCCCTGTTCACTGTGGTCAGATCAGACGTGAGAGCGGCCTTTTGCCTTTCAACTGAAATTAGAGAATTCAGCGTAGCATGGCATAGGGTCAAGCACTCCAGCTTCAGTGTAAAGAGCTGAATACAGGTCTTCTTTCTGCTACTCACTGCCTCATGACTGAGGTCATTTAACTCCTCCGAGTCGTTTCCCCGTCTATAAAAGGGCATAAGGTGACCGTCGTACTGACGGACTTTTTTAGTCTCAGATGAAAAGTCTGCTTTAAATTGTGCCGTACTTCACCAGGTCCCTTGCATTTCCTGTCCGTTCACCTTGTTTTCCTATTCCCAGGGCGTTCATGAAAAACTTGAAAAGGCATTGAGCACATTGGACACGTCCCAGGCTTTTTTCCCTTTTCCAGTACAACAGGCCGTCCCAAGCCCTGCCTGATTTGTGGAGTCCCACCTCTGCCAGCGTTTTACTGGCTGAGAACGCCATCCACCCTCCAGCAGTCCTCAGAGCGCTGAGAGGCTGGCGTGTTCCCATGCCAACGGGTGATCTGCTCGGCTGCAGCTGGCCGTGCTGTCTCGGGGCTCCCTCTTGTGTCCGCTTAGGGCTTGGACATTTCTGCCGCAGCAGCCAGGTCTCCATGGCTGCGTCATTCTCTGCACGGGCACTGGCCGTGCGGTGCCTTTCATTAGCGTGTGCTGGTCTTGCTTTTGGTACGCATTCTTCAGATACTGAATAGCTCTTTCTGCTCCCTTTGATTTATGGGCTGTACGTGGAGTACAGGGAAGAAGGGAATAGCCCATCTGTCCTTCTCATGTCCAGAAATCAGTCTTCACTGAGCGTGGCCAGCGCAGTGAGCTATCTTCAAATCTCCTTCATAAAACTAATGTCTGAAAGCAGGAGGAAAACCCCACCCTGACCCTTAAGCCTGGGGAAATCATTACGGTGTGGATTCTTGTCAGCAGCTGGTTCATAAAGGAAACGGGATCACGTAATGTTTCCTGGATGTCTGATTCGAACACAGGGAAGCTGCTTTCTGAGCTCTGGTGACCGTTTCTTTTATGAAGAATTACTGTCGCCAAGCAGTGGTAAATAACGATCCGCTTGGCTTGGCTCCTCCTCCCTGTTCTCCCTAGCACGCCTAGACAGAGCGGGGACACATGCAAGTCTGTGTGCATCTGGGAGCTTCCCTCCAAAGCCGTGAGGCTAAGCACTTCCTGTGCGTACAGAGAATCATCAGGGGACGTGTGAGATTGGTTCATCTTTAAAAGTATTTTCTTCAAGTACTAATCGCAGAAAGAACCAAATAAGAGGTTTACTTTCATGCTAATTTTAAAAATTGGAATTAACAGTCTGTGAGTCAGGTCCTTGTGGAAGACATTCAGGCTTCACGCACCCCTCTCTGCACCAAGTGAGCTGGCTCAACCCAGCATCTATCATGCAGGGCGCACTGCAGAAAAAACTGACAAAACCCACGTCTCCACGAACTCTCTGGCCCTTACTTGCCCCCATAGCAGGGAAAAAGTTGCTGTAGTTGTGTATTCTGACGCAGCTGCGGCCTGTGATTCCCAAGCTTGCTTTTTCCTGTACCCACAGAAGCAGGAAGGTGAGAGACCCCAAGCTGCGCGCCAATGGCACCCAGTGTCTCCAAGCCAGCCGCTGCACCCTGCTGCTTCCTGAGGTGAGGCGGCGGAGGCACCTACTCTGTGCCGAGCTCTCTGCCAGGTCCGGGTCTTCCTAAGGGAGACTTGACGCGTGGCCTTACATGTTTATTCTTCCATTATATCAACAATATCAAAGGTGAGCTGTCACGGTGATGCCAGCCTATAATCCCAGCACTAGGGAGGCTGAGGCAGGACTGCTGCCAGCCTGGGCTACAGAGTGAGTTCAAGGCCAGCCTGAACTAGATAGCGAGACCCTGTCTAAAAAACAACAAAAAAGTATAATATGAAGAATTGTCTAGCTGTTGAATAATGCAGTGCATTTTTATTTTCTTATCTTTTTGAGACACGCTCTCACTATGCAGTTGAGGCTGGCCTTGAGCTCACTTTGTAGCCCAGGCTGGCCTCAAACTTGCAGTGATCCTCCTCCCTCAGCCTCCTGACTGCTGGGATTACAGGTGTGCACCACCACGCCCGGCTCAGTGCACTTTTAATAAAGGATCTGGTACCAGATTTTAGTTCTGCACTAAATTTTTTTGTATTGTGAAATGCCACACTATAAAAATAATCTATGTAAGAAAAAAGGAAAGTTGGAGATAACAGTACCGGAGTTGTAGTTGATTGGGGCCAGCCCAGGAAAATTTCTACAGGTCATCTCTTAAGAGCTGTCCTGTGACACTACTGAATTCCCACAGGGCTGTGGGAAACAGGAGGTGTTTCCAGGCACTGGCAAAAGCTGAAATAAACGCATGTTTACAGGTTTTGCAGGCTCTGTAAGGGTACTAATGCTAATGCGCTTTAAGTGCAAATATTTGAGTCTTAGAGGATGAAAAGGATTCCGTGGACAGAACAGCTTTCATAAGAGAATCAGCAGTCTTTGTCACTGCATTTGAAAAAGATTAGGAGTGAGAAGGACCATATTACGTTTATCCACTCCTTAACGCATAGGGCAGGATCCCTGCCTTTTAATAAATACTAGAAAACCTGAACCTTGTTGATCAAGCCCCAGAATACTCGGAGAGGAGCCAAAAGGTCCAAAGCCAGCCCTTTTCCCGCAGAGGGAGGACTGGATGTTTCTAGAACCGGCACAGTGCGCGTCACCGCAGCACGGGCCCTCGGAGCGGACAGCGTCTCCCCCGGAGCAGCCCTGAGCACCCTCTCTCCACAGGGCGGCGGGGGTGCCTTCAGCATCGACAGCGAGGAGTACGAGGCGATGCCTGTGGAGGTGAAGCTGCTCCCCAGGAAGCTGCAGTTCTTCTGCGACCCCCGGAAGCGAGAGCAGCTGCTGCAGAGCCCGGCGCAGTGAGCCGCAGAGGCGCGGGCGCTCCCGGCCCGCACTTTAAGCCACCCGCTGGACCAAAAGGGAACAGAGGACCCCAAGGGCATTTGCACCGCAAGTTCCCCCCACCCCAGCGGTGCGGCCCACGCTCCCCTGCCGCCGCGTGCCCGCGCTCATTTCCGGGGAGCAGTCCGTCCCTCCTAGGGACTTCCTCAGACGGTGGGGAGCCGGGTCCTGGGCCTGCCCGGGCGCCGCAGCCCCGCTGTGCTCCGTGACCGTCCTCGGGCCTTCCCAGGCTTGTCCGCCCCTGCCAGGGCTCCTTCCCCACTGCTGCTGGTCCGAGTTCGGTGCTCACCCCGCTCGTTCCCGTTTTGTCCTCCATCCACAGCAAATGTCGTCCTCCTTCAACCATAGCTAAACTATCGTCAAGTGCTATTTTTTTAAAAAGCAGTGCTTTTTCACTGTTGTGCATGAGAACCCGCTGGGTGTGATGCATGTCGACAACTTGGGACCTCCACCAAACCGCTCCGCCTGCCGTGGGGCCCAGGACTCTCCCCAAGGGAGTCTCAAAGGGGTCCCTCGTGGTTTAAAGCAGCGCTCCACAAATGCTTCTGCCCGTGTTTTCCCCAAAAGTACTGTGAAAAAATCATGTGTCCCCCTCACATCTTCATCTTTCATTGGAAGTTAAATAGTTGCCAAAGTATGTACTTTGTAGTGTTGTGTAAATATTGATGTTTTCAAATAAACTGTTACAGCCCTCTTCTAAACATTCGGTATAATTTAAACACCGCAGCAATTTGACGTCCCTCATTCATAAAAATAAATTCATTAGTAGTCAGAAACTTAAACTTACTTTTTTCTCCCTGTGGGTGTATTTGTGTACTGCTTTCAGCAAAAGAATCTTACTATAATGTAATCTATTTTTATGCTTCACATTTCTGGACTGCCAACAAAAAGTACTAATGGAATTTTTTTAGTTTTTAAATTAGGGCTGAATGTTCTTGTAATTACTGATTGTAATTGATAAAAACAGTATTAGTTTGGTAAGTAAAAACATGTCAGTATGTTTATCCTAATTAGTTCATTTACTCCATATATAAATGTTATTTGCATCTGGGATGGGGGTTCAGCGCTGCTTATATGCTTTTGTTGAGCACCAAATGGGAAGAGACAGCATTCTAACAATGTCATGTACCTGTTTGAATTCCTTTTAAATTAAATGGCAAAAAGTACAGTGTTCTGTCATCAGAAGTTAGTAGTTTTCAACTAACAGCTTGATTAGCTCTTCCATTACCGAGGGTCTGTTCCCATACCAGCATCATTTACTTTTTTTTTTTTGAGACAGGGTCTCGCTGTGTAGCTCAGGCTGGCCTCAGACTCACCAGAATTTGCCTGCCTCTATCACTTACTTTGAATACTGCCACTGACATTTTCCTCCGAAGTCCCCCTCCGCTGGAGAGCCTTGATCGTAGGGGCTGGCAGGGATCTCGCTTTTCTCTTTGTCGAGGGCAAAGTGAGGAGGAAAAGCTAGTAGATCTTAGTCCAAGCTCTCGGGAAGATCATTTTAAACACGGAACCTAACCCCAGGCGTCCTCTGCAGAGTGAAGACGCATGTTTTAATGGATTACGTAGCAGCTACAGGAAGCCCATGCATGAACATCACAAAACGTAAGGCTTACCTATCAAGTACTATATGCTTCGAGGTGGTGTTAAAGGCTCGGCTTTAGCGAAAAACAAAACAAAAAAAAAACCAGTGAGTCCAAACATCAGTAAAAGGATCACCTGGCAGCCCAAGCCTCGCATGGAGGACAAGAGGATGCTGGCCCCTAAAAAGTAAATCACAACCTGTGGTTCCCTAAGTGCAAGGAGGGCCACTGCAGAATCTGCCTCCTTCCCTGAGGCACTACCTGTGTGTTCCCAGCGATTCTAACAAAAATGATCCACGTGGCCAAGGAATAACACTTAAACCATACTAAGACTCTTGCTCACTTTTAAATACAAGTAGGCCTGTTTCAGTTTCTGGTTTGACTCAGACTACTTCGTATGGACTTGGTCTCCTCACAGCTCTGTCCTCTACACTGTCCACACGGGAGCCAGCTTCTCAGCCACACGGGAGAACTGCGTCCCCTCCTCTTCAGCACAAACTTTTTTTTTTTTTTTTTGGTTTTTCTCCGGTACCGGGAACCGAACTCACGACCTTGCGCTTGCCAGGCAGGCGCTTTTGCCGCTGAGCTAAATCCCCAGCCCCAGCACAAACATTTTGCCAGCTTAATTTCACTCAAAGCCCACGATTATTTCGACTGAAAGTACTTTCTGCACAACAGTTTAACACAGAACGTTTCCCTTTGCTTCAGTTGTGATCACGGGTTACTGTGTGCAGTGCTGCTTACACACGCAGCAGTCATGTCACTTCTCACAGCCCCCACCCTCGGGAAATACACGGTCACACGCCAGAGCCTGGCCGTGCACGCTGCCATTTGGTTTGAGAGCCAACAACGGTAGCAACTGATTCTGCGTTGGTTTAAATAACTCCCCAACAGGTGAAAAAGGGGAACAGTTCAGACTATAGAAGCGCACACATATATGCTCTGTGTAAACTTGGTCAGGGATTTGGTGGAACAAATGGGCTTTTGCTGGAAGTTGCCTCATGTGACTGAGGGTGCACACGCCCGGCTCTTCTGGGTGGTGTTCTCAACTTGGGCTTCTGGTACCTGCAGAGTTTTCCAGAGTGCAGCCTGTGGAAGGGCGGGCGGCTGCTCCCTGGTCTCCTCCGCCATCGCTGTACAAAAGGCAGCATCCACCCTGGGCCGTGGCCACTATGCCTTCGTACCCCAGCCCACACTCTTGGGCCAGGCCAAGGGTCACAGCACACAGGTTCATGTTTAAATGTGAACTTTAATTGTAAAAATCGTTTTCTGTAAATATATCAACCTCTCTGCACACAACTTGGTTCAGATATATACAGATGATATACACAGATCTTAACTGTACCACAGAACAAGATCGGGGCGAGAAACATTTAGTCTCAGGAGTACCTCAGCTTTTTTCAGGCCTTTATGTCACCACTGAATATAGAATGTCACCACCCACCTGCTTTACCCTGTCCAGGGTAAAACTTAGGAAGCATCTTTCCGATTTCATCACAAGGTAAAAACTTGAACCAAAGTAGATTCAATTTCTCTTATTGCTATAATTCTTAAGCTGGGGTATTAGTCAAAAATAGGGTTTTTACAATTTAAGGCAACAGAGAAGCTATACTGATCCTAACTTGGAAAAACCAGGAAAACAGGTTTTCCAAGGTTACCATGATTTCTTTTTCAGGAAAGGTTTATATCCCAGATCTGTAAAAAAATGTAGTGAACAAGCTGTGGGTAAATAAAGGACATTCGGTTTGTGTCTACTGAGCCCCGGAAGTCCGGTCCAGGCTGTCCAGAAGCACAGCATCTAGAGCTTGTCCTACTGGGGCCACGGTAGGCATCCTAGACCCCAATTCTCAATGTCTTCTTAACACTTTCTTTGTACTTCATCTTTGCTTGATTTACCCAAAGAAAATTTTCACTCTAATGTTAAATCTACTTCAACCAACTAACTCAATTACCTCAGGGTGGCGTTTTCATTGTGTGCGTCATCTCTGGCCAATTTATAATGCCTTACCATACCCCCGTACCCTGACTGTCCTTAGAAAGCAGAGTCAGCGCCTCATTAGTCTACCAGGCTTCTACAGCAAACAGAAGTCACACCTATCTACTAGAGTATTAAATAAACCTTCTGAATTTAGGCCCCACTACCGCTAAAATCCCATGTTACACTGAAAATCGAGAATAAATTCTAAAAAGGTAGAAGCAGGGATTTACTTATCCATCGTCCCTTCTATAGGGTACTAGAAAATTTCCTCTTCCCTTTCCACATTTGCAGCTTTATCTGCTTCTCAATTCCAACTCCCAAAATGAATTAAAGTGCCAGTTAAAACGACCTCCCATTCATTCCCGCCTGTCTCCAGTTGACTGAGGGCCTGAAAAACAGAACTTCTGTCCTAGAGGTTTCCTAAGGCTGGGTCCTTGCTGTGTGTCCTCCTTCCTGGGACTGTCACTTCATCTCCAGGAGTGCTGTGAAGGTCACACAGCACAACGTCCTTATTCGCCCTCTAAGACATTTACATAGTCAAGGCCGTAAAGGTTTCAGCCACTGCCAAACTACAAAATCGCCCATTTCTTCTAGGATCATAGTCCTACAGTTTCAACAGCTCCATACTCAGTTCATCTCACAGTAACATTGATATAAAAATAAACTTCCATTTCTTCTAAAAAAAAAAAAATTAACTTAATTCACAGTTAGTCCTTTCCCACCACACTTGGCGCTCTAGTAGCTCCTGGGAATAGAGGTATATTAGCAGTAAAAACGGGGTATTGGAAGTCCATGACTTGGGAGTAAAAGGAGCCCTTCACTCCTCCCTCCCCCTACCTGAATCAGAAAAGGATTTTCCTGAAATGGGAAGGGATGGGACCGGGCCTTTGAGGCAAGCCTGTAGCTCTCAGGATTCTCACCCGGGTGTAACCGTGAGGCATGGGGAGGACACAGGAGGGCCAGACAGCTGGGACACGAGCTCGCCAGCCTGGAACCTAAGGGACACACCAGCCTGCGAGAGATTCTTGGTCTCCGTATTAGTTTTTTATCCCGTTTTTGAACTCTTCCCCACGCTGGGACAAGGTCACTGTCATGCCCACGTTTACTTCTGGCCCAGGAGAAAGCATCTCAGTCCACTCTCGACGGTGCAGTTTCTAAGGGAAATACACAGTCCTAATATCCCTGCCTTTTCCTGGAGGTTAATATCCTGCTACAAAAAGTTAATTCATTATCACCTTTACAAAAGGTTCCCTGAAGGCCTCAGTGGAAAAGTTACTGTGTTGGAAGGGCTTCCAGTATATCAAGACCAGTTCATCCTCCTGGCTGCCAGAAGGAAAACAGTGATGTATCTATGGGTTAATTTACCTTTCATCTTCTAGCTAAAACGCCATAGGTAGTTACGTGATAAACGAATCTTCATATGGCATCTGGCACCATCTGCACCCGGATGCTACTTTTTTTTTTTTTTTTTTTTTTAGTTTTTCTCTGGTACCAGGAACCGAACTCACGACCTTGTGCTTGCCAGGCAGGCGCTTTGCCGCTGAGCTAAATCCCCAGCCCTGGATGCTACTTTTACCTTTCCTGCCTTGAGTTTTGCCTGGTTTATAACACTGTAAGTTATAGATGGAATGCCCAGGCTAAACCACTTCTGTCCGTGTGGCAACGAGGTGGGCTGCCCTCCCCTGGCCAGATGGAAGAGGAGCTCCCAGAATGGATGGTGGGCATAGGAGCAGAAGCCTTCCAAGTCATATACTCACAATCAACTGAGGACTCACAGGTCCCAGGGAAACAGTGACATCGGCACAGGTTCACACCAGGCGTAAGGCAGGCTTCACCTTCAAAGCCAAAGCTGATGCTAAGCAGTGATCTGGTGTATACTTTTCAGGCTGGCAGGAGATGAGCCCTACCATTTCTGACTGCTGGAGAAAGAGTCCTCTGCTAGCCAACAACTGGCCATTGCCCCAAAGGCTGAGCATGACCAGCTGCTGAACCTTACACAATTGAAAACATCCATTTTAACAGGCCTCTGTCATACTCAACACAGACCCTGCCAGGTCCTGGCTGCCAGTTCCCACAGGGTTCTTGCCACCAGGAATGTCCTCTAACTCGGGGACACGTGGGCAGCCCCTGCATCACAGGTTTCCAAGTGTTCCGGGCGAGCACGTTTGCAGTGTGGCACCAGGTCAGGGTTACAGCGCCCTGGGACTAAGCCCGCTTGGGCAAGGGCGGATGAGGGCCACCAGCAGCAAGCGCATGGAGCCATGCACAGGTTCCCGGCCCAGCCCCCACAGCCAGCGGTGAGAATACTGCCTGGCCTACCGCGCTCGCAGGCCTACAAGCTGGCACGATGTTCGCTGTTTCTTCCCAACAAAGGCAGATGGCTTTTCAGCAAATGTTTCAAGAGTGACAAAAAAGTGGGTCCACATGGCTCCTTACTTCTACTCATGCAGAGGGATTCCTGCCTAGGTCTTCCCAAATGAGCCCTTTACGGGAACTGGCAGCAAAGGATGCCGGGTTGTGCCTGCTGGCTCTGCTGTGAGGAGCATAGCCTGGTACTAAAATGAGGCTTCAAAGGGCGCCCTCAGAAGCCAGAGGCTTCTCGGGCCAGGCAGACATCTCTGGAGGATGAACCGCGGTAAGGATGGTGAAGAGCTAACACATGTAGTTTAGCCAAGCGGGGGCTCTGTACCAGATTTCTGGTCCCGCGGGGAAGCTGGGAAAGCAGGAAGAACTGAGGGAGAAGTTCTGCTCCCCGTCAGCTGAGCCCAGGCCCTGTGACCTAACACACGGCCCTGCCTCCAGGGCCACCCACACCACAGCCCTCAGCACAAGCACGGGGGACACAGGAGCTGCCAGACGGAGCTCCCTGGTAAAGGTGCCCACAAACCCTGACTCGCCATTTAAAGGGAAATCCAGGAACCTCTTCTTACCCTTGCGGTTGTTACATCAGCACATCTGAGTTTACAGCAGAACAGCGCGGAAACAAGTGTTCACGTGTAGAAGGCCCTGGGGCAGAAGTGCTTGGTAACAGCATCCTTCTAGCAGATCTTCCAGATTCAGAGAAAGAAGGTCTGCCTGGGTCCCCCAGGAGAATCAGGCCCTTCCTGTCACCGCTGTGTCTGTCTCCAGCCACCTACCCCCAAAGCAGAAAACCTTGAACCTAGACGCCACTACAAGTCTTAACCCAGCTGAGCCAGTCCTCCTCAGCCTTGTGAGGCCAGAAGGGACTGCTGCCCAGAAATGGAAAAAAGGTAAAATTTTAGCTGCTAAACACCAATGTGTTTTCTTTTGTAAACGTGTTACTGGAACGATAGCTAAACCCACCCTGCACGGGAGTCAGCGTATTAGTTGTACAGTTTACATTTCAATACCCAAAACTATTTATAGGTCTGCATAAGAGGTGCTACCTTGCTTAATCAGCATCTTTGCATTTCCATGCACATTAATTTCTTCACTCTTAAATTCTGTACGAGGGAGGTACAGTGAAAATACTTTTGAATGAAATAAGAACTTGAAACCAGTCAGGTAAGACATGTTATGGAAGGTTATTCTCTCTGCTGGCTGGTAAGCCTGGCCTGGGTACAGACGATGGTACACTAGTGGCTAATCATAAGAAGTTCAATAACAAGAACCAGGCAGGAAAGAAGGGGAAGAGATTATTTGTTACCAATAACCCAAGAGCCCAGGTCGAAATCCTAAATTCTGCTCATGGGAGCTGGCTTTCAGACTATGCTTACCAACTACCCTTTGACCTAGTCTTGTACTCACTGAATAACCCAGCTCAAGAGAACAGGCAGGTGACTAGGGCACCCATTCCAGACAACACACATTTCACTGGCAAGCAGGTAAGAATACTATGGACACACAGGGGTTACTGACCACTCTCCTGGGGGAAGGCACCGCCAGACTTCCTAACAAATCAGTTAGGTCTGGACCCAACTACTGACCTAAGGAATGTCACCTCTGCTGCGCACAGTAAACAGTCCTTGTAACACGGCGTGCTCCAACCTGAGTTGACCAGCTCAACCAGATCCTGGCTAGCCTTCCCGGGTCCAGTGGATCTATCTGATCCAAAGGGGCTGCTGTCAGCACCTCCAGAGAATCCTCATCAAAATGGAGAAACTCAGTTCTTCTGCAGCCTGCTACAGCATCCACTGCGCTACACCCTATTTGTGTAAGAAATATCCTCTTGTCCCTCCCAGTGGTCCCTTCTCAAATGAACAGAGAAGACAGAGACTTGCCCCAAGGAACAGGAAGAGGGATTTGATCCCACTACCGCCGCCTCCTTGAACTGGATGACCTTGAAAGGTCATTTGCGCTACTTTCTGCCTTTGGGCAGATGAACATCTAAGGCCACACAGAATGTCTGCTGTATTCCTGAATGCACCAAGGGACAACCACAGACATTCTGGCAGTCCACCCGAAGTTTCCAGAGCTCAGCTCACTCGTACGGACAAACCCTCTGAGACCAAACCCAAAGACCAGCTGCCCTGCGAGACAATGTAGATTCCCATGCGCTCCCAAAGCAGGCTGCAAAACCAAGGCCATCTCACCTTACCTCTAGACAAGAAGGGAAGAGAGGAATTTGCAAAAATCACATTTGTTGGAAAGTATAAACAATCTTCCTTGCGTCAACTTAATTAAAAACCAGGCTGATGGGGGCCTGGGGTACACCCCAGGCTGCTGTCATCCTATGCGAGTGGCTCACCAATCCCGCGTCACTCTTCCTATGGGCAACAAGGGTTGTCAATGACCAGCATGACGTCGATGCCATAGGCCTCCAGCAGGTCCATAAGAAAGCTCCGGTCTCCCTGCGGGTCCAGGCCCATGCCGCGGGCATGCTCTGCTGTCAGAGTTTTGTCCTGACTGGCAGACACCTCCAACAAAGTCTGAAATATCCGGTTGTTCTGCTCGAGGAAAAACCTACATGTGCAAGACAGGGAAGGGAAGGAAAGACAGCTCACCAGATAATCCATGCAGGGCCACCCAATCTATACAGTTTTGTTCAGCATCCTCCTTTTATCAGAACTGGGACTGAACACAGGGCCTTTTAGAAAAATCTTATTAGTACCTGTTTGTGGTACACGATGATTCGCATTGTGGGGAGGTGGTACATGTACAGAACACATAATGCTTTTTACTTCCCCTCCCCCTCCATCTCTTGGTCTCCTTCCCATTTGTAAGAGGTCTATCTCCCTGCTTCCTAGCTATATCCCCAGACTTTCCCCGCTTCCCCTCCCTCTCCCCATCTCTCTCTCTGAGACAAGATTTCACTGAAGTTGCCCAGGCTGGGCTCAAACTTGAAATCCTCCTGACTCAGCCCCCTAGAGGTCTGGGATTATAGGCATGTGCCACCATGCCTGGTTTAATATTTTTTTGAGAGCCTCCAAAGATAAATCAACAATATCTTTGAAAAGAAGAAAACTGTCAAAGTTAGGCAGTTATTCAAGCGGTTCTAAGGTTAGCAAAGAAGCCATCCGGCATTCAGCACAAACTGGCTGGAGAAACCTCTTGCACGTGATGGTCTGACCGCTGACAGCAGGTTTTCCTGGAAGCAGACTCTTCCTAGTGGTTTGAATGCAGCTTCAGGGAGAGGGCCCTGTACACTGCTTTCCTTTCCTTCTGCTTAGTCATCTGGGGAGAAGAAAGTTGCAAACACAGAGCCTGGTAATGTGGTTCTGAGGGCAAGTGGGAAATCAAAGTGTACCCTGTCTCAAAGCTTGGGCAGAAGCTCCCCCAGAGAACCCAGGCCAGGCAGACGGCGCAGGGCTGACGCCACAAGGGGGCGCTCGGCAGGCGGGGGCAGCCACAGGCAGCGCTGAAGCCAGCAGTGCTGGGAGGCGAGGTAAAGGAGAAAGGGAGCCCAGCAGTGGCCACTGAGACAGCAGACCTGCTGTGTTGCCGGGTGTCTGTTCTCTGACAGCAATGGGGTGGTAGTGTTGTGCATGCAGCTGCAAGGTTTGAAAGTCACAGGTGGAAAAACTGCGGGGCAGGCATGTGATGTCCAAGCTGTGCTGCTCAGGGCTCCCGGGAAGGGCAGGGTGCCCACTACCTTACGAGACTCTACGTGCCCAGAATTTCAGTGCGTGGTGTGTTGATCTGTGCGAGACTGTGGCTCTGGACCGTTTCTAGACACGTGCATGTCTGCACAGCATGTGTGCATGAGCCAGGATGCCGTGAGATCCAGACATGTCCACAGCGGGTTCCCATCTAAGCCAGGAGCGGTCCCTGGTGCAAGCATCCCCGATGCATCCCAGCACAGGGGGCAGGAAGACCAAACTGGAAGCTGGGAGCCTGGCTTCTGTCTCAGTTACAATTCTGTGTGTATGCAGAACGGTCTCATGTGGCTGCTTACAAACGAAATCAGTGAGGTGCAAAGGCCCAGGGCCTTGCCCTGACCGCCAACAGATCTGGGAGCGATTCCACTCAACTTCTTAGACTATCCCATAGTATTCAGGGCAAGTAATGGTTCTATTTGGAGGAAGCAGTGTTGACACATCTCTGAGGGACAGACAGAGCTTCCACGTGGTGGGCAACCTCAACACCCAAGAGCACATACTGGGCTTGTGTTTTCTCTCAATGACCTGCCCCTGCCTCTTTCCTTGTCTCCTCTGGGTCCTCCCTGTTGGCCTTTTAGGGCTCAGGCTGCCTCTGCAAGGAGCCCAGCTCTTGGCAGCAACAAAGGACATCCCAAACTGGGCGAAGCGGGGTATGCCTGTAATCCAGCACTCTGGGAGGCTGAGGTAAGAGGATGGCAAGTTCAAGCCCAGCCTGGGCCACTTAGCAAGACCCTATCTCAAAATAAGAAACACAAAAAGGCCTGGGGATATAGCTCAGCACCGAGACCCTGGTTCAATTCCTGGAATTGCAGAGAGGTAAAAAGGAAAAAAAACAAAGGCCACCCCTGATCTGCAGGAAGTGACATCAGAGGGACCCGGACCATCCAAAGCAGCTGGTGCTGAAGGGATCCTCAGCCCCACAGTCCCTGTGAGGACTGACTCACAGCACAAAGAGGTCCTCTTCACAAGGGTTGTAGTCTTCTTCAAGCTCCTGGGAGTACAACAACATCTGCCTGTCGGGAAGGAGATCACCATCAGATGCGGTAAGGCTACAGGACGCCAGACGCAGGCCTGCAGTGTGACAGGCTGCACCGCACCGGAAGCTGCACCGCACCGGAGGCTGCACCGGGCCAGAGTGAGGCAGAGAGAAAGAGGCCAGCAAAGAAATACAAGGGCACAGCTGGACTCAAAACCCAGGGTCCGTGGCCAGCCTTGCCCCTGGGAACCTCAGCAAGTGACAATCTTTTTTGATTGATTGGGGATTGCAGTGGTACCAGTTATCTCTATTTCACAGGACAGCCAGACTGTCGAGAGTTACATGAGATAATATAACGCAGAAGTGAGTTTCTAAGGCAGTGACCCACACCGTGCAGACGCCCAATACACAGTTGTTACACGGTACACGTGTGAGGGCACAGACACATGCACACGCTACACCCAAGACCCAGGGGCAACTCCGCACAAGGGCACTGGGGGAGTGTCTGGTGTAACTTCCTCTTCTCCGAACTTCGGACTCCAAAGCTTGGCAGAAAGAAATCACACGTGTGTCTCCCTCCCTCCCTTGGGGCCCCGTTCAGGGAGCCTGGCGGCCCCTCGTTTCTATCTCCCAGGTAGGGTGTGTGCTGCAGGGAAGCACCACCCTGAGCCCTGGCTGTGCCCGCATGTGGCCCGCACCTCTGCTCGTTGAGCCGCCGGTACTTCTCCCTGTCGGCACTGTTGATCTTCAGCAGGGGCTGCAGGTGGTCGTGGTGGGTCTTCACATTCTGGTTATCCACGTAGACGTCGTACAGCTCCCGCTTCTCCTCGAATATCTTCTCTGTGGTGCCTGTGGAACCCGGTGTAAAGGGGGCAGGACGCCTCAGTGAAGGCCAGCCAGACCCCACGGGGGACAAGGAGGTCAGGAGCCCAGGTCTGGGAGAAGGGTTTGAACACCGGGATAGGAGGACGGAGGGCCCCATACTCACAGGCCACATAGGACACCTCTACCTCCAGGCTCTCAATGTCGGCCACATTCACATAGAAGAAGGGCTTGGACTCGGGGATGGTGCCCCCAATGCCAGGCAGTGAGACGTTGGCCAGGCAGCAGCAGCAGTACACTGTGGGGACCGAGGAGGTGAGGGCAGAGGCTGCCCGTCAGCACCTCCCCTACCCTGCTGGCCTTGAAGGAAGTTGCTCTGAGTTGGGTATGGTCTGCCCACCCCAACACTCATGTTGAGGCGTGGCTCCATGTCTGTGCAAGGTGCTGCATGTATAACGGCGGGGTCTTTACAGGAAGCAGATCGGGGAGGTCCAGTGCCCAGCTCTCTCCACAGCAGCGGTTCTAGAGCAAGCCCGGAGCCTCCTCCTCCTCCCCACCTTGCCCTCAACTCCCACACAGGCCTGCTCCTGCTCTTCCACCATGAGGGCCTCACCAGAAGCTGAGCAGATACTGGTGCCACTCGCGTGGACTTCCAGAACATGAACCGGATAAACCTTTTTTATGAATCGCTCAGCCACAGGCATTTTATTACAGAAACAGGAAGTGGACTAACACAGACGCTGTGGAGGGCTCTGCTTTGTGCTGCCAGCGCCAGTAACCACAATCCTGGCAGCCCCCACGATCCCTCTTTGCTATCCATACTCCTCCATTATTCCCTCACACCTCATGACCTTCACAACCCATGCACACAAACTGTGTCCAGAATCCACCTGCTCTGCTTTAATCCTGACTCGGCTCTCCCAAGCTACCCATGGTCTCCCACACACTTCTCCCTGCCCTGCACACCAAGGCTCCACCTTCGGAAGTACGGAGCCAATCACGCTGCTGCTGCCCTTCAAAACCCTTGATATGGCCCAGCGTCTTCCAAACTTGGTGCAGAAGGCAGGTCTTGGGCAGTCTCAGTTCTGGGAACTTGGGGAGAGCCTGAGTGTGGCTTCTGCTTACCTCTGTAACACACAACGCCCACAGGTGGGGGAGAAAATATCAAAATACGCTTCCGGAGTAAGGCAAATTTCCAGAGAATGAGGATCTGCTCTCCAAAGAACTTAATAAACTGAGACATGCAGCCAGCGGGGTGAGTGATCTGGAAGCACAAAAAGGGATGAGGACAGGGAAGAAGGGGAAGAGCTTGTTCGAAACACCGCTGCGAAAAACACCCAGCGTAGGTGTGTGCAGAACTGACATCCCTGCCCGCAAAGCCCCAAATCAATAAACAATGACGATGAAAAACCAAGCACACAGATGCACTCAGGGATGGCTATGTCATACAAAATATTTGTCAGCTTAACTCTTATCTTTAAATTGGATTTTTACAATGCAAAAGATCTGCGGTACACTGAAGTTTGGGTTTAAGAATCATTAACTACTCTACTCTGGAGAATAAGGTGCAGAGGAAACAGAGCTGAGCTTTTTTACATGCCGGAAATAAAGGTATGCCTGAAGAGACAGTAAGCCTTGCTGAGAAAAGTCACTTCCAGCACGCTATAGAGCACTGTGAGTAATAAGATGAGTGAACAGCCTTAGATAAGCCACTGAAACGGCGACCTCTGCACACAATGCAAGGTGTCCCCAGTGACCACAGGCAGGAAAGACCCACAGGGACTTCCGGCCCAACGCTGCCGCCCTCTAACTCTAACCAACTTCCTGCTAAGGCCAACTGCAGAGAGGATGGCAATCATAGAGCTGCCTTCCCAGGAGACCCTTGGGATTAAGAGCGTAAGCTCAAGGAATTCCAATCCTGGCCTTGCCACTTCCTAACTGGGAAGCCAAGAGAAAGTAAGCTCATGTTTCTAGTTCACTTTCCTCATCTGCAAATTGGGAAGACCATTACCTATGGCTAGGATGAGACAAAACAGGAAATATTTAGCGGCTGAGAACAGCCCATATGTGGTGACTACTAACATTACTGACAAAACGGGGGCTTCAGACCGGGTGCCGCGGAAGCAGTTCAGAAGGTCATGTCCACGCTGAAGTGTGAAAGGAGTGCTCATGTCCTACCAGGGACACAGGCAAGAACAGTTTTGAAGAGCAGCAGCCACACCAGGGCCACAGGTGGGGTTCAGTGACACGGAAGGCTGGGGGCCCACACCCCTGAGCTCTGCCGGTCCAGGCCAGGGCTGCCCTCAGCCCTCTGATGCTGCGCCTGGACCACCTTAGAATGTTTTCCTTTCCCGGGCACTGACCCCACACTGATGCCATTCACTTGCCCAGTGCCAGGAGAAAGACCACCCAAGACTGAACACTCCTGTCTGTGACCTCCCTTTGTCTATTCCTCTCTCACTACACCCCAGATCAACAGGAGGAAGTGACTCAGCCTGCCCGGATCCTCCCATCACTGTCTCTCATCAAGTCAATGGGGAACTGGGTAGGAAGGAGCCACAGGACAACCCGTGCTTCCAGGCCTCCCTGCGCTATCTTTAACCCTGAACATCTTCCAACGGCAAGTAGACCTGGGAGGGTCGGTACCAGTGTGTCCTGGGCCTAAACATCCTACACCAAATGAATGATCCTTACTCGGTTCTGACCTCATTTATAGGCTCATTCATGGATACATATGTGCTGCTATGTTTAGATCGAAAATGTCCCCTAAAATCTCCCGTTGAGAGTGGTACGCTGGAAAGGGTGATTAGATCATGGGGGTGCCGTATGCATCAGTGGATTGATTCACTGATGAGTTCATAGCTAAACACATGTTTATAGCCAAACGGGGCCTAGCTAGAAAAGTTTTGTCTCTGCAGGAGTGACTCTGCAGGGTACACCCCACGCCTTAGACCTTCCCTTGCTGCTTCCTGGATGCCATGAGGTGAGCAGGTTTTCTCCACCAGGCCCTTTCACCATGCCATTATGCCTTGGAGCCAGCCAACCATGGACTAGATCCCTGGAACTGTAAGCCAAAAGAAACCTCTTCTTTATGTTGTGGGTCTTACCAGGTATTTTGTCCCATTGAGGGGAAGGTGACTAAAACATACAAACTCATTCAAAAAGTGCCTCTTAAATGCTTACTTTATGCCAAAGCACCAAGTATTCTAGTTCAAACAATGAAGAAGAAAACACCCAGTCCCTGTCTTCATATAGTTGTAAGTTGGGAGAAACAGATAAGCAATTAGAATCCAGCCTGGTGAGAGCGTGGCAGAAGGACAGAAGCTATGGGGATTGTCAGGGGTTGCTGATTCCATTCTGGGAAAGACGGATTCTTCCTGGACATCTGAGCTTCAACATAAAGCAAGAACCCAGGGATGGTGTTCCAGTAGAGACCGGCACAAACACAGGCCTGGAGATTAGGAGGGAATACGCCACTTCCTGTAAGCTGGCAGCACTGCAGGTGGCTCTCGCAGCTGTCACTTCCCTCTGGCCCCTTCCCTTTTCATCAAAGCAAGCATAGCCCTCTGCCCTACTCCATACGTCATGGCACCCTCAGGCCACATGCGCATTCATAACCTAATGCACGTCCGTTTTTGTTTCTCCATGTTCACCCATGCGTGTGTGGGCACCTATATGTGTCTACACCCGAGACTGTGATTATTAAAGTGTGATCCTATCACCTAACCTTCTGCATGACCTGCCAGACCTTCCCTATCAATTTATTATGCTCTAATTCATTATTCACAGTGGCTGCTTGCTCTGTGGACATCCTAGTTTTCTACCTCTTTGAATGATGTGGAATTAAACACTCTCACATACATCACTCTGGCGGTTTTATAGACAGGCCAGATCCCAAGGAATGAGGTCACTGAAATAAAAGGAACCTGTACTTTTAATTTTACTATGCTGGCATACTGTTTTTTTTATAAAGCCCATACATACCTGTACTTGCAATCTACGAAGTACCTTTTCCCCTGTACCTCTAGTATTTCACAAGTATGTTAATGAGCCGCCCTCAACAGAGCAAAGGCATTTGGCAATTTTCCTTGGACCCTCTTTCCTCATGAGTCCAGAAACATCTGATCAGACAATGGTCACCTCCCTCTGGGTTTGGAGACAGCCCAGGAGCAATTTTGCTCACAATAATGACTGAGACACAGGCCAACAGACAACTTTCAGATCAATACAAGCCCCGAATCCTGTGGACCACAATCTGACCATTTATCATCATCTCTGAGCCAATACCAGGGTGTTGAGAAATCTGCAGACTACATTTCCTGGACTCCCACGCCAACTGGCTGCCTTCTAATGGAAGCCAATGGCTGCAGGCTGCAAGGCAGGAGGAAGGGGGTTCTCCTTAGTCCCTACCTCCTGTTGGTTCTGCTCCAACAGGAAAGAACTCCTGGCTCCACCCGCGGTTTTTTCAGCCCTCTAAGGACAAGCTGACCCACACCCAAAAGGCACCACCAGGGCCTCCCCAGAGACCCAAGCTTGGGCTGGCAGAGATCACCCCTGGTGGTGATGACTCCTCCTTCACTGCCACCCTGGCCCCGGATGTGGCAGGTAGCTTTAAAGACAGCCCCAGTGATCCACCCGCTTGGTGTTTACAACCTCATGCACTTCTCTTTCCTCTTGAGTAACTTGCTTCTAACCAAGATAATACAGCTACATTGCAGGCATGACCTCCCCAAGAGAAAGTTACAAAACATGCTGATTTCCATCTAGTTAGCGGATCTGGATCTTTGGTTTTGATGAAGCAGTGCTGCCAGATTAGAGAGACCCACGTGGCTAAGAACTGAGGTGGTCTCCAAACACCAGCAGGGTGCTGAGGCCTTCATTTAATCTAACCCTGCCAACAAGCTCAGAAGTGAATACATCCCTGGCTGAGCCTTCCAGTGAGGCCTCAACCCTGGCTGCTGCCTTGACTGCAGAGCATGAAGCAAAGGAGCCTTCTGAGCCATGCCTGGATTCCTGATGCACAGCACCTGTGCGATAATTAATTTGAAACTTGCGATCTTGATATGATTTCTTATATCTAATACAGGGTGGCACACATACTCATTTGCTCCTTTGGTCTTCTGAATCCTGTTACTGGTTCCCTATACTGAATAAGCTTGGAATACCTAATATGGTCTCTGTTTTCCTGATAAGACCATAATTGTTAGTTCCTAGGGTTCAAATTCTATGGTCCAGGGGCTGGGGATTTAGCTCAACAGCACAGCGCCTGCCTGGCAAGCTCCAGGTGTGACTTCGATTTCTGGTACTGGAAAAAAAAAAAAAAAAAAAAAAAAAAAAAAATTCTATGGTCCAGTATTTAAGGTTCTCTACAATGTGATTCCACTCTATTTTTCCAGTCTTCTCTCTTATGACCAAGTAGCATGAAAATGTAATCTTCACCATGTCCGCTGGTGACTCGTGTGCCTTGTGCTGTCCTATGTCCACATCTCTGCAAAGGCAGTGAAGTAGGGCAGAGAGGGACGAGCACTGGGTTTGATATCTGTCCTGTATTTAAATCCTGACTCTATCTTTACTGCTATACGGCCTGGAGCAAGTCAGGGAGCCTTCATAAGCCTCCATTGCTTTAGCTGAAAAACAGGGAATATAAAAAAATTTAAAGAGTGCTGCGACCAGTATAAAGAGCTAGCATAATGCCTACCTCAGGGAAGGCGCCCAGAGCACAGCAGACAATGGCTTTTACCACTGCATATGTCTTCCCTTGGTCTGCAGTCAGCGCCCCTGACTTCCAACTGAACCAAATACAGACTTCAGGGACCAACTCCTCTTTCAAAATGCTCTCTCCCTTCAGTTCATGCATAATTTCTCTCCCAGAGGAGCCTTAAGTTTCCACTGAAATATCTTATGACCAGTCAAAGAGGACAGAGGAGGAAAAGGAAGAGAAGATTCATGTTCTTAGTGATCTTTGTATCCTTCTAACAGCTAACGCTTGGGCAAGTGTTTCATTAACTTGAAGCATAGCGCCTGCCTGGCAAGCATGAGGTCGTGAGTTCGATTCCCGGTACCGCAAAAACAAACAAACAAACAAAAAAAATAACTTGAAGCAAACACATTCTAGTACCAAAAGCAAAGTGCTACAGAAAAAATCTATGAAATTAATATAAAAAATAATGTAACTAAGAAATACCATACCTGCTCATCAAATCCTTCATCTTCAGTTCAAATGTCTGGATGTATAATACTGACGCAACCCACAGATTCATCTTTTTCCTTCTAGGAGTCCAGCACAACCGGCCTGCCTATGATATGGGGCTTGGCACTACACTGACAGAAGTGTCTAGCAGGCAATCTGTTTAAGGCAACTCACCTTAGGCTTTAAGTGCACCCAAACGCTTATGTTACAACCCAGTTCAATCAAAAGCAGGCTTTGCGCATGGGCCCCAGAAAGAAATGCCTTATCAATGAAAACAATCTACAACTACTGTTCCAGACAGGAGTCCAGCATGGTGGAAGGGGAAGGCCGACCTCACCTTCATCTCGGGGTACATGTAGCGGTGGATGGAAGGCAGCCAGTAGACAGGGGGCAGGCTGCTGCCTCTCCCAGGTCCCACATGGAGCACCCCTTTCTTGTCCTCATAGAATGCAGCGAGATGAGAATAATGTCCAGGTGTCTCCAGCTGGTGCCTGTACAACACACACAGCCAGCGCAAGCACAGTGAGAACGGCTCTGGCCGCAGCCCCACAGTCCAACCCCACCCCTACCCCCACCCCCACCGCCAGTGGGTTCATCAGCTGGGAGGCTGCCTCAGAGCCTCCCTTTGTGCTACTGAACACTCTTCAGCTTGCCCCAACATGGGAAATGCATTCGCTTTCTCACGGGAAGCACACAGAATTATCAGGCTGGGACTAATGTCTATTGCTCTTGAGCGAGGTACGCTAAAGATCGTATGTTGCTTCCCAGAGAATGGCTGTGTTCTTTGAGAAAGGATAACTTGGATGACTACAAAGTCCCTGTTCAGTGCTGCTCTTTGGGTCGTGCTTCTTTGCTCTCTTTGTTGTTATAAAACAACAGGGAGACGCTTATGCCTCGGGTCCCAAAGAAGGTACTTTCCTGAAAGAGTTAAAGCCTTCGTATTACAGTGATACACTCACATCCATGTTTATGCAGCACAACTCGCAATAGCTAAATCTTGGAAGCGGCTCATACATCCATTAATAGATGAAAGGTAAAGAAAATGTGGTATTTGCACTCAGTGGAGCACTACTCTGTCATGAAGAAAAATAAACTAGGGGCTGGGGATTTAGCTCAGCGGCAAAAGCGCCTGCCTGGCAAGCGCAAGGTCGTGAGTTCGGTTCCCGGTACCGGAGAAAAACCAAAAAAAAAAAAAAAAAAGAGAACCCCAAATTATACATAAGGAGCAAAATGAAAAATAACAGCAAGTAGGGAAACAGTCCTTCCTCAAATTGGAAGGGGCTCAAGAGATAAAGGGAGAAGGGAGGGAAGGAAAAGGAAGGGGGCTGAAAAGAAATAGAGATGTATCACGTACATGCACCAAGTCCATGCAAGAAATGTGAACGTTATGTACTGCAAACAAGTTATGACCGGAAGTCACAAAGATCATCATATCCTATCAAGTAACAAAGAAATGCTTTCTCCTCCCACATCGGTCCTCTGCACAGGTCAGAAGCCTGTCAAATGATCCCAAAACCAAGAAAGTAGCACTGAAGCCCTACCCCAGCGTACAAGGCAGAATTCTGCATACAAGTCAAGATATGAAGATTAGCAAAGATGTCGGAGCTTGCATTTTGCCCCCACCACACACACACAAAGGTGGAATCCTAGTTGCTAGTACCTTAGAATGTGGCCTTACTTGGATAGAGTCCTTACAGAGGTAATCAAATGAAAGACGAGGTTACAGGAGTGAGCCCTATCCAGTATGACTTAAGAAAGGGATGAGGAAGGCAGGATTGAGGCAAAGTCAAGGAACACCGAAGAATGCCAGAAAACCACTGGAAGCTAAAACAGCAGCAGGGGGCAGAGTTCGCCCCCCAAACCCTCAGGGAGCCCACCCCCCTACACCTTGGTTTGACCTTGTAAACTTCAGAACGGTGACACGTAAGTTTCTATTGTCTTAAGCCACCAGTATCTGGTATTTTGTTATGCAGGCCCAGCAAATAAAAGGCCCCAATCCTTTTTAGCTCATTTTTACTTTCATGGTGTTTTATAATTTCCCTAGAAAAGCTGGGCATGGTGGTGCACACCTGTAATCCCAGCACTCAGGAGGCTGAGGCAGGAGGATCATTGCGAGTTTGAGACCACCCTAGGCTACAAAGTGAGCTCAAGGCCAGCCTGAACTGCATAGCGAGACCCTGTCTCAGAAAGACAGAACAGCAACAACAGCAAAACATAATAAGAAGTAACTGATGGGCCAGAGATATAGCTCAGTGGCATAAGTGCCTGCCTGGCAAGCGCAAGGTCCTGAGTTTGATTTCCAGTACCAAAAAAAAAAAAAAAAAAAGGAGTAACCAGTGGGATCACTGCCTATGATCATTTGGAAAGCTAAGTTGGATATGCTGCATCTGGCAATTTTAAGAGGATGACAGATTTCAACCTTCTTCAGGGATGTGGGTCAAAATGATGGAATTTTAATAAATAGAAACTCATACACAATAACTTCAAAGGTATTTTCATTACAACCCATTGTCCCTTAAAAAAAAAAACAAAAAAACACTGAGACTCTATTTTCTGTGTTGAAAGGGCTGAATCAAGGGTAATTTGTTTAATACTTTTCATTTCCTAAGCTTACTGTTTGCAGATTTTCTGCTCAGCTGTCTTTTCTGTTTGACTACGTTAAACACTGTATTTGAGCAAGAATCTACCAAAAAGCTCACTTAAGAGTACCTTAAACTAAAAAGCTGGCATCAGGACTCTGACAGCCTCTCTCTGATAAGAGAGAACGAGGCAAAAACATGCAATACAGAATATGAACAGAGACGTAAATATAAACCGGCACTTCCCAGATGAATGTTAAATAATCATTGTGTGAAAACCTCAGGATATAAGCATCCTGCAGATTCTGAAACAAACAAGATTGATCATCAAACCACAGCAATAATGTAAGCCAAAAAGTAACGATGCAAGGCTGAGAGCACTGCAAGATAAGCTGGTCTCTGAAGGAGACCCTTCCGGTGTGCTTAGCTATAAGGATGCATAAATTGAGAAATCACCAAGCCAGCTATGGAATCTGTCCAAGAGATGTGACACTGCAAAAACTATCAATTACTGGCTCAAGATACACTACTGATCTGAAGCCACAGACTTTGGGGCCAGATCAAGGATTTTCCTGCAGGACCAGAAACAATGGTTTTCTCTTTAAGCCACAGCTCCTCCAGTGATAAATCACAGACATATATGACCATGCAAATGCCCTGTGCAGCTGACCCTGCCTTCCCCTACCACAGCTTGTAATAGGTCATCCAATGTAAGAAGCGGAGGGGCCTCTCTGCCACAATTACACCCCCTCCCCCTGGAGTGTTCCCAACTTGTCTGAATAGGTCTCTCTTCTGGCTTTGCAAATACAGAAAAACCAGCACTCCCATATACTGCTGGTGCAGGGAGAATGGTATCACCTTTTCTAGGCTAAACTACTATTTGTATCAGACTGTACACTATGTATACCCTCTGATCCACCCAGTGATTCCATTTCTAGGCTTGAGGCCTAAACATCTATATTTATAGATGTGAACAATCATTTTATCCACAAGGATGCTCATGTTTACAGTGGAAAAAACAAAAACAAAAACAAAAAAACACCTCAAAGCACAGTATTTAAATAAGTTATGGTATAACTACATGTTGAGATGCTGTGAAAACTACCAAAGCAATGTTAGACTTTGATGATATAGTTAAAAGATTAACATGCCACATTAAAAAATTTAGATATGAAATGACATCAATAGTCCTTTTAAAAATAATATGTATGCAGAATTTATTCATGGGGGAAAGACTAGGATATATAATAGTATCACCACTAGATATGACTGAGATCGGGTTCCTTTTCCTTTGTGTTTTCTCTAGTTTTCAAGCTCCTGACATTAACTGCAGTATGTGCTAATTTTATATTTAGTCTTTCAAAACTGTTCTTTAGCTAGGCATGGTGGCACATGCCTGTGATCCCGGCACTCGGGAGGCAGAGGCAGGAGGATTATTATGAGTCTGAGACCAGCCCAGGCTACACAGGAAGCTCAAGGCCAGCCTGAACTGCATAGGGAGACCCTGTCTCAAAAAAAAAAAAAAAAAAAACAAAAACAAAACAAAAAAAAACCACCCTTTATAGAAATTTTCAAACATACTCAGAAAAGTAGAAAGAATGAGGCCCGTTACTTATCATCAGTAATCATCCATATTTGGGCAATATGGCTACGTCTACACCCTGTCCCCTATCATAAATGACTTTTTTTTCTTAAGTATTTCAAAGAAGATTGCACATATTTTATCTGTACATGTTAGTATATACCACTGATAAAGTATATTTTAAAAATAACAACTACCATGCCATTATCTCACCTTTTTAATAATGTCTTAATAAAAAGTTAATACCCAGTCACATTCAAATTATTCCTACTGTCTTCAAAATGACATTGTATAGTTGCTTTGTTTGAAGGAAAATCTAAGCAAAATCCAAAAATATAAATATCATTACAGGTCATTCCCCGGACGGAGGACTTCCGGCGCACAGGGAGCCTCGGGCGGGGAGCGTCAGTCTTCCGGCTAGCTAGCTTCCTGCCTGCTGGCTCCCTGACAGTGGGCCACTAGCGCACGGGGAGCCTCGGGCGGGGAGCGCCGGTC